ATAATTTGTCTTTAATAGCAAGAAAATTACGATGTGGAGGACCGAAGCAACCTCCATGCGTAGTAATAAATTGTGAAATATTGGTAAACGCGAATAATCGTCTTTTTTTGGTAAGTGATTAATAAACTTTACCCTTTATCTAGGTCTTCCGTGGGAAAGAGAAATGTCAAGTTTTGTTACGAATATTTGAAGTTTGACATTTTCTTGCATTTTATTTCATTTGTATGCTCACATGATTCGATGAGCAAATTTTGTGTATCAACTTCTTTTGTTACCACACGACATTGTATATCGAGCTTCATACTATGACACTGTACCATAGCTACGACAGTGTAACAGGTATCAGCACAGCAATAATCAGTTAGGCAGAGCTCTAAGCTGTCGCCAATATGTCTTTTATCCGTATAAGTCTTTTACATGCTTTACCTCAACAATCCAGAGCTTCAACAAATGTACGCCGCAAGCCATTGTAAGCAACAGATAACAATTTCGATTTCTTCATTAGATTCCGCATAAGGACGGCAAAATACTTTTGAAACAATATCCGTGCACAAAATCATGGAAGCCTTGTAATTGCCAAATGTATCTAACAATGGCCGTTGATTGTGATATCTTTCTTCGTAAATGTGCGACGCAACACAATAATAATAATGATTAGAATCCAACTTCCTTAGAAAGTAAACATAATCAACTTGGATGGATTCCCAGTCAAATTGACAACGTCTGCTACAGTATTCACAATTATACCGTGATGATAATACTTTCACTACTTGGAAGTGGTGAGATATGAACACCAACATTTGTGAGCGAGTTTTCCAGAAATCGACACACAAGCACAATGCTACCCAGTCAATTTGCACGATATAATGAATGGCTTAAAGAGCGCAAACCAACTCATAATTGTGTTTACCAAGCATGACAATACTATTATAGGGCTGCTAAGAGGCGCCTTTTAAAGTCCCGCATAACATATTTGTGGTTTTATCTGACGGATAAACTAGCAACAATAAGCAAGTCGGCGCGAGTATTAAGAATCTTAGTTACAAAACAACTCTACAATTAGAATAAGATTTCATTTGATTGCATTGGCAATTGGAGGAAATGTAGTGCTTATTTATATGGTTTACAACGGCTAAATTGACAACGATGGATGATTTGTATTATGAGTCACGACTGCAGGTCTTTGGGTTTATTTATTATGGAATCACGGAGGGTAAATACTACGCTTTGGCAAATGTATACAAGCAATGAATCAACAAAAAGCGACACTCGACAGATGGCTGATGCGCGGCTTTGTGATTTTCTTTTTCCAGGTAAGTCATGCAGCCACATTAATAACGTTAAGCGTTTTAACTCATTAAATCGATATTATTATAACAACAGTATTCGTTTAATTAAATAGTTGACTAACGTCATTTTATATGAGGTTATTATAAATTGTCTCGACAGTAGATATAAAATTTCTGTGCAGAAATTTTAAGAAAAATTTTCTTAATGAGAAACATGAGACTAGATGAGCTGTTTTTAAGAAAGATACGATAACATTAAATAAAAATATAGGCAGCAAGAATAACGTGAATAAAAATTTGCGACAAGATGATATATGACGATTGACTCCCGATATACGAAAGGAATCTGTTGAGTCGATCACTTTCTCATAACGAGGGCCGCTGTACTTGAATGATACAAGTCAAACTATAATGATAGCATTTTGTTGATTTCTTGTATACAAGCCGTCTTACCTTTTAGTTAAATAAAATTGACAACAGTAACTTTTTAACGACCTATTCATGACCTCAGTGTCGATGCGTGAACACTAATATTTGATAATCAATTTGTCATTGCTGCAACAATGCACATCGGTATGAAACGATTAGTTGTCGTATTTGCCACGGAATAATCGCGGGACAAAAATAATTATTCCAGATCGAAATCAGTGTTTTTCTGTACCGGAAACGAATGTATTCGAAAACACATGCACACGCACATGCTCAGAATCGAAGCTGCTATTATCTTTCGGAAGGACTAATTGATCTATTCTAGCACGCTCAATTAATTTTGCAATCAGCATATACTTTGGTATTGCTGTTATTGTTGCTTCTGTTGTCTTCACCGCGTTGACCGATCGACTACTGTCTGTAACACTATTCGGAGTTACGCAAAAATTAAGGAGAAATATACGTCATACTTTAACGTTCGCTGAGAATGACTAAAAGACAAGAAGCAACTCACTGTTTTTATGTCAGTTACCAAATATATATATATATATATAATTACTTACGTGACTAAGTATAATGCAAGAACCGAATATGGTTTTATTCATAATGCTGTGTCTCAAGCCTTTTATTATGAAAGAATTAAAACGGGAAAGCCGATCGACTAATTTAATTTGGCCATTGTTGCACAAAAAGACGCATGGTATGAACACGACATTGATCGCGATTATCTAAAAATTTTACTTCGACTACTCTCCTAGGAAATTGTTTTATCTACTATTTGTTATATAATAAATATAAAAAGCATAAGCCGTCTTATTAAAAAGCTAGTATTTTTAATCTTTCGTCGCTTATTAATTATCAAAAAATATATCGACTACTTTTTAATATATACACGTTAGTCTTTTCCTCAAGCCGAATACCCTTATAATCTGCTCAACATATTTCTGTTCCCATGTATTTGCAAATGTTTCTAAATACGGCATTTTTTGAATACGTAATTCCAAGATTTGACTATTTTTATGCTGTTGACAGCGTTGTTCCTCAATTGGGACCTCTGGACTGAGTGTCTAGTTTCTGAACTGAGAGACAGGTCCCAAACTCAGACACAACAATAACAAACCCTTGCAAAAAACTCATACTTAGTTATTAGCATGTTAATTTGCAGTAGGTATGTTGCTTTGGGTGTTCCGGTTGACGTGAATTATCACTTGTAGGAAAGTTTGCGCTGAGATTTGAAGCGCAAACAAGTGTGTCGTTATACTATTGTCATTTACCTACAAACTTTCATCTTCGACCGTCTAGTACTCATTCCTGATTTTAGTAACGCTATCATTCGAGACCCATTCTATGTATTTTGTAGTTAAAGAGAGATATAAGGACATCGATTGATAAGATTATTTACTATCCACTCGGTAACTATTATTCGAAAGAATTAGGCGCATTCGGAAAAAGAAAATGGAAACATTCTATTCATACTTATAGTTAAGGTTTCGATAGCTGACGATACCGATGTCCGTTATATATGACTTGTTAACTGGACGTACTTTTTGGTACGCTGTCCTACAATTTAAGAACTGTCGGATGATTGCGTTTAAATTTCCACACTCTTTGAGTTTGTCAATACGGCTATTCTAACTTATGTAAGAAAACTTTAATATTACTATTTAAAAAAGAGAATTCTGTTCTTTTATATGCAAATCAGCACGTATTAATAATACCAGAGATTTAACTTTTCTACATATCTCTCTCTCGTATATGCATCGTCAGTTGTCAATTGATAACCCCATTGTTATATTACCATCTTTGGGATAGACATCATACTTCTTACCCGTTGCGATTACGATACGATATGTATGGCTATAATTTAGGATAATTATAACAAACGCAACCCCGGCCCTCCGGGCAAGAAAAAAATTAATTCTTGTGTATTCATGAGTCACCAATAAAATCCACATCAATTTTTGTTGCTTTAAGTAAAGGAGAACCAATAGCTTTTTGTTATCACCCTTGTGGAGTGATATTGGCGTACAGCCCCTGACAAGTCTCTTGATCATTCATCTAATTGGATGATTTTCAAACTCTCCATACAACAACTTGAACCTTTTTTTCGGTCTCTGGGAATTTTCTTTTATTCTCGAACCCTACATTGCTCGAATTTAGTGTAGTCACCTGGAAGACGTATGCGTAAAGAATACGACTAGCATATTCGAGCGCTCTATGACTGGCAATTAATAGAATGATGGAAAATTTACTAATATTAAGATGATGAGAATGAAACAAAGGCTGACTATTCAGCGACAAGTCAAAAATTTAACAATACAACGGCAAGGGAGCCAAGAATTTCTATTATCCGTGAAAAGAACTCTGTATCTCCTGATTTTAGACTAAAAAGTTATTTGCTACGATGATGTTTCCTCAAAATTAATATTTAATCGTTCCGTTAATCCTGATAGAAAGCAAAGAGGTTTTAGGTCATCCCAAAATAGGCGTGCTGCGCCTATAATAATTATAATCATTAAAATTAATACTAAAAGTATTTGTGGATCGCGATCGTCGCCTTGTACTAGCTTATTGGATTGTTTGGTATAAATCTTTGGTATCGACTTGAAGTATAATAAGACGAAAATTGGAACGGTCAAAAAAACGCGAACTACTTGTCGACTTTTTTCTTTTGCTACCGTTGCTGGCTATCTCATTATGGTACTCAATTTCGTCATGAAAAAAAAAAAGAATTTCAATAAACATTTCCCGAATTAGAACAAACGCTGAAAATGCATTATAACCATTTTCTCCAATTATACAAATTGCAAACATTTCCCGAATCAGAATGACTTTGAAAAATACTTTGCTCTGGTCATATTAATGTACTTCACATTAGCTGAGTTGTTGGGCAAAAAAAGAACTTCTCGTCGGAAATTACCTCAGCATCTGATGTCTGCATGGCTGAAATCGGCAGGTGCACAAGAAAAAGGCTTGGCAGATGACCAATCACCTGTGACATTAATGGTGTTAACGTCACCACTATATTAGTATTATTATTATTATTTATTCTAAACGCATTTCACATAATTTCACACAATACATTCTCGGATGCCTTGTGCACCACAATCGAATAGAGATCAAAGCAAATAATCATAACTGTTACCCACACAGGGTTATATGCATTTGTGCTACCATTAACTACTATTACTTGTACATTTATCGACAATACCCCCCGTAACATGCAATAAAAGCAAAACATTCTATTTTCGCTGACACCCATTTTTTGACACTCACATAATAATGAAGGTGCCAAAAGCACTCAAACCGACGCTCGACTTTCGTCGTTCCGTCATGAAAGACAAAATATCCACCCCCATTGCTATCCCCACCAAAGCCCCGCGTTCGATTCAACCACCAAAAAAAGTCATTAAAGCATTATACGACTACAAAGCAAAATCACCAGGCGAATTGTCCTTTTCAAAGGGCGACTTTTTCCATGTAGTCGGTGAAGACATCGTTCCCGACTGGTACGAGGCCTGTAATCCCGCCACCAACGTCCGTGGTCTAGTCCCTGTATCATATTTCCAAGTCCTGGAGAAAAGCAGCAGACTCAGTCTAAGCGAAAAATCCGATTCCGGCACATTCGTATCTACCAGCACTACTGTGCAAAAACAGCAACCGCTCTATGGAGTGGTTCTGTACGATTTTGTTGCCGAACGTCAAGACGAATTGGATGCTAAAGCCGGCGAAGCGATTATTATAATCGCTCAGTCAAATCGAGAATGGTTCGTCGCCAAACCTATTGGTCGACTAGGCGGACCAGGACTAATCCCTGTCACATTTATCGAGATTAAGGATCTCTCGACGGGCCAGACAATTGAAGATGTAAACGAATTGTTGGACAGATCGGTCGTGCCCAAAGTCGAAGACTGGAAGAAAATGACTCAAGATTACCAAGACAATAGCATTACGTTGGGTCGCTTAGATTTTCCCTCGGAAAACCCGACTGTTGATCCCAAGCTTGCACCAATCGGTATGGAGCGGAGAGCAATGTCGACGAATGACGAGTACGAGCAAATGCAACCGTCTGTCGCTATAGACTTTGACCCTAAACTCAGTCCCATAACGTTCGAGTTTGATAATAGGTTACCACAGACCGGCATGCGCGGTTCACAGTCGTTTGGTAGGTATGCGTCGTCAGAAAGTTACCAGCGTAACTCTGAGGCTTTCAATACTTCACCAACGAGTCCTCAACTCCAACAAGATGACAGTGTTAATGGCGAAGATCAAATAATGAATGCATGGGTAGACAAATATCATTACGAGGACAATCACTATTGGTTTGTGGTGAGGGTTCAAATGGCATCTGGTCGGTTCCGCGTACTGTATAGATTGTACGAAGACTTTTACGAGTTTCAAATTGCGCTTCTTGGCGAATTCCCCGTTGAAGCTGGACGTACCGGGAAAAAACGTATTTTACCTTTTATGCCGGGGCCTCTTTCTTATGTTAATGATGTTATCACGGCTCAAAGAAGGGCCGACCTTGATGTATATGTGAAAGAATTACTCAATCTTCCCGCATACATATTGCGGAATCCGTTACTGAATCAGTTGTTTGGAATGAGAGAAGGTGATATGCAGACAGATAGTGATTCGGTTCTGGACAATGCAAACATAAATAATTACGAGACATCATCTATCGATCCTTCATTGCAATTCAATGACGGGTACAACCAGTCGCAATCTGCATACGGAAACGTTCCCGATGAGTATGCAACGTACGGGCAGTCAGTGCAGGCACCAATGGAACCACCGCCCACTATCAAAATTAAGATTTTTTATAAGGAAGATGTCATGGCTATTAAAATACCATCAGATATCACTTATGCGGCATTACGAAAGAGGTTGGAGGAACGTCTAGATGGACCTTTGGCATCTTTGCAGTATAAAGACGAGACATCCGGACAGGTTCTGAGGCTTGGCAATGATTCCGATCTTTACCGTGCAATTAGGACTTGCCCGAAACTTCTCATTTATGCAGACGATGAGAATGACTATTGATGACATTTCGATGAGACTGTTGAGATAAAGCCAAATCGGTGATATGTAATGCAGAAATAAGCTAAAGCGTTTACATGGATTTTATGCAAGCAATATTCGAAAAAAAAAATTTTTTTGTTTCCTTTTATTTGTTGGGAATATGCAGATGCGGGATGGAAAATTTGTTATTGGGGGATTATTAGTTGGATTATAATGTAATAGTCGAGTTATACAGAACTCGTCAGGGATTGTGGTTGAGAGACAGCTCTGTAGTTGAGGTGGATTCAATATGTACGACCTTCTCTCTCTCCTTTCACTCCCTTTGGATAATCGGTATTATTGTAATAGGATGAAAGGAGTGAAAGAATGAGAGAGATGGTGGTAGTAGGGGTGGAGATAGTTGCGAGCGGTAATGTTGCTGATGGCAGCTTATCTATGTGTATACAACTGAATAATTTTGAAATATGCCATCAACAACAAGGCTCAATCGCAACAATGTCGACATTCTATGTCCCGATTTCCGCTGATTTTAATATTTGATTCATACATTCTAGTCTGAGCACTTATACATATTCACTCATATATACTCATTCTATATATATATTGTGTTTCAATAGTTTGTTTGTTTGTTTTTTCATCTCACTTGTACTTTTTCGGTTTTTTTATTAACATATCAAAAGCGTGTTTGTATCTGATTTTGTATAGATAGAGCTTGTTCGTATTATTATACCTTTGATGCACACCGAGTTCAGGATAGAGATCAAATGATTAAAAATTCTATTGGTTGTAGTCGAGGGTCAAAAACACTCGCATCGTCTGAACGTTGAGATAAATTACGCGAATAGTTCGAGATCGTTGTTGGTCGACTAAACCATGTCGGATAAAATGAAGGCAAAAGCAAATCGCAGTAATGGGTCATAGATGTGTTTCAACATAATTCCCGAGCGACTGGTCAAACACACATCTTCTCTTCTTGCTGCAGACGATCGTTTGTTGTCATACGCACATTCATGCGTGTCAACGTCGTTTTTTGTGAAATGCCACATCATGCTGTTGTACCACAACCTAGACAAGATACATAAAATAGAATACTAATGCGTCCTATTTTCGAGGAGCATGTTCGTCACATGCATCGCTGGTATTTAGAGAGAACGGGTCGCCAATACTTTTACTTCACCATGAAAATATGTGCATTATAAGGTCAACCATAAATATGACGACGCAAGTGGAGATATTTATTTTTAGCCAAACTCGTCCCTTGACCCGTGAATTATTTTTAAGCACGCGTGAAAAAATTGCTACCCGTTGTCTCGACTAATTTATTCCATTCTAGCGGAAAACACACTAATCGATTTAAGAAAGCGACATCTTTGTTGGTGCGCATTTCCTTTGCGTTCGACGATCAATCCCGTATTTCATTCCCGATCTTCGCTTATACGTTCCCAAACAGGGTGCAATTTATTAAGTAATTCCCACATGTGCTGCCTTTTGTTCGTCACATTAAATTCGACCCGGGCAAATCGTATTACAAATCAGTGAAACAATTGAGACCAAAAGCTTTGAGCTTGACCTTGGCCCTAGCAAAAATTTCTCAAAACCGGGTGTAAAAGGGTTGCAGCACGTGAATGAACGTAATATACCATTATTGTTAACCCGCGTGTTAGGCTCGTTACTGAGATACAAGTACTTTTGGTAAATTAAAGTTTAAAAACGCATGTTCTGTAAATATCAATTAACGGATAGCAATTCTAGGCATCATTGTCGGATTAATCGCGGGATTACCGGATTCTGAATAACCGACCGTCGTACAAATTACGAATAATATATGTCGTCGTAACGCCTTTGCGCTTTATCACACTCGTACTAGTTTTTTTCTCGCCAGCCTGCAACGGGATTTGCATGCCATTCTCATACATTCGCCACCAATCAATATCACAACAACGCCCTACATTTCCCGCTTTTCCCACAACGGATATCGACTAACATATTAGTCTCAGCCCCGATTCTTTCCGGTTAAACAACAGTCTACAAATAGTAGCCTCAAAAGTTCAATTGTAACCATAGAATCATGTAAAAGGATGATGGAGTCGGTAAATCGAGCCGTCTGCACGCATATGTGCAGCAGAATCTGTCGTACATGGTGAGTCAACGTCTAACATGCGAATTCATCAAAACATAACCCTTTTTTTTTTTGCTTAAGAAGGAAATTGATAATCAAAGTCCGCGTGCTGTACAACAATTATCATGGTTATATTAATTAATACATAATCTTTGTTTGTTAACTTTGGTGCTTGTAAAGTTGGAGAAATTAAAATGCGTACGTTCGACAGGTGATTACACACATTTGTTCAAACAAATGAGTAATTCTCGTGACAATCGAGAATTTGATTCTACACTAAATGAGACATGCTGCAAAGAACGTGTATTTGTAATAAAAGATTTATTGTTCCGTTCAAAACCCGTAAACCATTTACAATTCAGTGTGTCCCTTGGAAGGCAGGTAAAGACTCACTTGCGTATTTTTCCCCCACCGTCTATAATTGCGACCTTTTTTTATTTTGACAATCCGTTTTAGTTTATGGAGAACATGGACATTATCATGTGTTTCTGTTTACGCATCTATGATATACATGTCTAAATAAATAACATCTATTGTGAAAAGATATCTGCCAAAGATGGGGATAATCGCTATGTTTTCAGCCGATGCTTTTCTGGCTGCTGAGACGTTCAAATTGAAGGCTTCTTTTTTTTTTGCTGATAAACTTGTTTGTTTAGACGATTTACTCTTTGTTCTGATCCCAAATCATGATTTGATGTCAATTCAGTAGTAGACAAACCTGTCCGGAATGAGGAGATATTTTGTTCCATGTGACTGTGACGGTAAGAATGTGTCCGTACAGCGTATCTCTTTTAAAAATTACGTGATTATCTAAGTACATAATCAACAGGATTGTGAGCCCAACTTCGAATTTCCCCGTTAAACAATGTAATGCAGAAGCGCATAGATTATGTGCAGCTAATAGAATGGTTGTAATAAAAAACTTGGTACTCCAGAGGCAGTATATGACATATGAAAAACTTTTCTTTGAAACTGAGCGCTGAGGAAAGGATTAATACATACAGGGATGTTACCAAAGCGGTTCGACTACTTCATAATTATAATTATGTCTTTGGCGACCTTAGAACACTAATATTGTTATATCGTATTCACCAGCTAGTGGACGGTATTAGCATTAAACACAACTGATTGGGTTGGCCGAGCGAATATCCTACCCTGAATCCTGATATCGACTAGCCTTCCGGTGTTGGTGGTGGACAATGAAAAGGGATCACGATCTCATATGGCTAGAACGATTGAACAAAGAGTTAGGAGTGTCAGTTGAATCTATCCCAGAGATGGAAATTTTATTAAGCTGTTATTATCGTATACAATCAAACTTTAGCATTAATAGTCAAAATTAACATGCAAATAAAATCCGAGATGTAAAATACGCTTTTTTCAAGAGCTTATTAAATGACTACAAATGATAAAAATATATATCTGATATAGGACTATCTGTATATTAATATGTTAAATAACGAATATAACGCTTCCATCGAATACGTGTTTCTCGGATATACACGTAAGTTGCAATTATGGTTGTTCAACAATAATTTCGAGGGAAAAAGTTTGCCGAATTACATAAAGCGTTTCAAGTTTTTTCCAATACTAAACAAGTATATTTTTGATGGCTCAACTGAAAGCAATGAATGGCAGAGAAATAATTGCTAGTCGACACTTTAGAAAGAATACGCGCACAAATCAAAATACTTTTACTGTTGAGATTGTAATATTCCACTTTGTCAGAAAACATATCTCAATATGTTGGGAATTGGTCGACAACGATTCGTATTGCGCCTTTAAACTGATTTTCAGGCAACAACAATCAACAAAATGTCCATTTTGATTTGAATTTATTTTCTCATAAATATGCTGTACAACAATTACATTATTGCTTCAATCTGTTATACAGTATTAATAAAAAAAAACTCGAAAAGAGAAACAAAGATTTACTAAATAAAAATGAAACTTTAAATAAGCAATTAGCAGATATACAGTGGATAAAGAAGATTTCAAACTAGAAATTTGAAATGCGATCAACAATGTTAAAGAAAAACATTACTTCTAATTGCTTATTTATTTCAAGCAATTCATTTCTCTCTTTCTCTAAACTGGTTGTTAATGCCTGTAAACCTTTAACTTCTTCATCTGCTTTTACTCATCAAGATACTGCATTTTTATGCATGTTAATAAGGCGAACAAAGCTTTTTCTAAATTCTTTGTCTTCTAAGTGTTTTAATGCATAAGGGCGAAGTCAAAAGCTCTTATCTCTGCTTCGTTTGGATTTCAGTTTAAACTACCAACTAGTTCTTTTATTTCCTCTTCGGTTAAAATATTGTTTTGGTTTGTCATGATTTTAATTTCTATATTATTATTTTAATATTAAAAGATTAAATATAAAAAATTTAATAGAACAAACGAAAACTAATAAAGTAATAAAATTTGCGGTTGACCGAAATATTTTTATTCATTATCAGCATAGGTTGGTTTGGGACAAGTAATATCCTTGAATTCATCTAACAAATGGGCGGATATTATGATAAAGATATTCTTGTCTTTTGTAATCCAAAGGAGGCGGAGTTAGGACTAAAATAGAAAAAGATTTAATTTCTCTGGTAATTTCAGAAACACTTGCTTTTCTGGTTTTCAATAAATTGATTTCAATGTACGAACCATTAGCAACCAGCTGGGTTTTGACAATTCCAGGTCGAGCCGCTTCGAATACAAAATGTTGATATTTTTGTAACCCACTCAATTTTTTAAAGAAAATTCCCAACACGGAATTAAGATCCAAGTATTGAAAACCTTGTCCATTGTCATAGCGTTGAGCTTTGTTTAATCCTGCTGTGCTCGATCTTTTCACAACCTCAACAATATGATCCACACAATATACTGTTGTTTTGCGGTATAGTTTTTTAATTAATCCAAAACTACCATCACACTTAAATTTAGTATGTCCCGGTACCATAAAATTTAATTCAATACTTTCATAATAACCGCAAATTACTAAATAAAGGTAAAATCAAATGGTGGTGTTATTTTTATTCTGTCCACCCGCATTATCACAAGTAATCTTTAAATGTTTTTCACCTTTATTCAATCTCTTAATCCCATCAAATACCATGCTCAGTGTGCCATTAGGGCCTTTGCCGATAATTTCGTCTTTATCGAGAACGTAATTAATTTGTTCGCGTACTGCTTCATCTTTGATACCAAATAAATGTACTTTACGCGGACTGAGATAGTAAATTTTACTTGCCTGTTGATCGGAATGGGGCACGTGAACGTTTTGCGCTCAATCGTAACTGTAATGAGCAGTAGCGTCAACATTACAATAATTAGCTTTATCTCTTGTTATAAAATGTTTATTTACCAATTTCCTCTGTTGTTCTGCTAATTTCGTATTTTTGTTGTAATAATTTCTCTCTAGTTTAGCCTTAACTAAATGTTTTTTGAAAATTTTTAATAAATTTTTCGCTTCTTCTTCCTTACGAGCATTATACTGTAAGCCGTTCCGAAAATGTCACATAAATCCGTTTGTGGACTCATAATTTGAATATAAGGCGTCATACCTTGCGAAACGCATCATATTTTAACAATTTCAATGCGCTATCGTTTTCGAGACCTGCAATAAAATCACGATAGACTGCTTTGTAACTCGTTTCGGCTGGCAAAAGTGTAAGCGATTGTGTAATACGATTGACGTTTCTACCAGGACTTGGTAATCCATGAATTTCAGCATAGTTTTCGATAAAATTCTTTTACGGCAGTAGCAACGGTTAAATCAATGGTTATTTTGGTTTTCCATCGTGGCATTCGTTTTATGTTACCATCAACGCGTGGTATTATACCATTGGTTGCGAGATGGTTTCTAACGTTTTCGAAGTGAGTGCGACCAATTCCTAACATATTGAGATACGTTTTCTGGCAGAGAGGCGTATTGCGATCTCAATAATAAAAAGTTCTCTTATTAGTACGCGTTTTCTTTTTAAGACGTCGGCTGGCCGTTATTTCTCCACCATTCATTGCTTTCAACTGGGCCATTAAAAATATATCTTGTTCAGATCTAGAGAGGGCTTGGAACGCTTCACGTAATTCGGCAAACTTTTCTCTTGGAATCTTTTTTGTACAACCACAATTGCAGCCTATCTCTAGAAAACGGATTGCTTTTTCATATTCAGTCGAACCATTATAATTATAATTTTCCATATACAGGTAATCCTATATATAATTTTAATATTCTGTCCATAACGATAATGATAACAATAATAACCTTGCCGAAATTTGCTATGGTTTGCATACTTGCTCGCATATCAAAAGGTTACACCTTTCAGATATGGCTGAAATTTTTTATTAAAATTTACCTCACACCCATCGTTGGAGGCTCTTACAGATTTTTTTAATTCCTTAACTTTTGTTACTATCTTAATATTCGGATGTAATTTTTTTCCTCAACAGTTTTATAGGTCATTTGCAACCAATATATACAAATCATGTTCAGCTAAATGTGACTAAAGAGAAGCCCCGTTGATAGAAGCAGTCTGATTTAACTAGCAGAAAATATAAAGCAATATTTCAATATTGCTACATGTCAGATCCACTGTAGATATTCTTATAGAGTCAGATCAGTGTCATCCAAAGTTATGTCAAGGCCTTCTCCCAATTTTACATGCATATTAGGAAGGTTTTCACACCTGATTTCCACCTCACTATAGCTGTTATCATACAGCACATGCCAAAAATTGGGTTTGGTCTTTTGCAGTTTCTTAGATATGTGACGGAAGTCAATGATGGCCCAGTGCTTAAGAGGAATCTCTTCATATGTTCCTCCACTAACAAACCGTTTTGCATGCTTCTCCATCCTGTCTCCCTCCCGCAGTAATTCCACACCTCACTCAAGTCCACTATTGACATAAAAGTCTAAGAATCCAGTTGAGCCAAATATAGGACCAACATCAGGGCTAATGGTGGCCATTGCTGGTACAACTGTGGATGCAGCCCTGTACCATTCCATTTGCCACGACCTTTCATACAGTCTTGAATTCAAACGTTCTTTGCCAAGAGATTCCCTTAAGATAGGTGGGCGCATACGACAGATGCTCATGACCAAAAAGTTCTCAAAGTCGTTGGCTTTAGGTAGATTGCTCAGAGTAGCAGGTGCGGTGAACAAGCGCTGTCCCAGTATAACTCGTACCAGTGGAGCAGCAAACTGCCAATTGCAACTTCCATTACCAGCCTGTTTCAGCTTCAGCCCCCACATACTTTAATCCACACACAACATATGATTATTCACATAATAGTTATGCTCACCTAATTGTCCGACGGAATGTTACATAAAATATTACT